TGTTTCCAAATTGTGCAAGACTCGTAAAGCTGTAACATAAGATTTGAGCTTGTTACGTTATATCGTGACATGTTGATTTATAATGTACATGTAAACAAATAATGCCATTTCGACTTTACATACCAATAGATTGTACTATGTCCTTGTGCCCTGCTCAACATTAAAGGAATTTATACTCATGATATCCTCCCCTCCAGGATCTCATAGGCCATTTGCATCCTTTGTGTTTTTTACTTTTGCCTGTTGGTGAAACTTGTGTTATAAAGGATGTCGATTGGTGAAGTTCGCTATTCTGGTTCCTTGACGTACTTCCTTAAACTTGTATTGATAAGTATATCAAAGAAATTGAACGACTAAGGCTCTACTTACCTAAAATAAATAATAATAAAATAATGACTGTTTATTCACAAATCCACAGGAAAGTGAAAAGGAGATAAAAGAGGTTATCCCTTTCTAGTTTATCTCCTGATAATAAAAAAAATTAAGACATTAATTATTTACAACTGGTTAAAATACTAAGTATATATATAATGCATCACACAATAACGGTAGCCTTCATTCTAAAAGTCATGTTTGAAATGTGCTCATTCAACTCAACCAATAGCTGCCATTTTGTGTTAAATGAGATTTTCTTGTAGAGTATGCAGGTTCATAAAATTATACCCAAAGCAGGTTAAAACATTAATGAAGGATGTATTTAAGGGAATCCATATGTATATTTCATGTTCTTGTCATTATTGGAACAATAACGATATGACATCATGAATGACGTCATTTTTTCAGAGCTTATGCAAAATTTTTTAGTTTTCCTTACTTTTCTTGTCCACAGGCAGGATGACCTTTCAATAAAACTTTTTTACTCCACTTTCTATTTAGTTTTAATTTACAAGTGAGGTTTTTAAAGCACAATACTTACAAATTCTTTCGTTTGTTTGATCACTTTATGAGTTGTCATGGTTCTAGACTATGCAGATTAGCATCCTTATGTTTCAGACAGACAGGATTAGAACTGGAAAGAAAGTGGGAACTGAAGTCACCGAAGTATTCAGAGGTTAACATGAATAAGCAAAACATAAATGTTTCGAAACCTTTACTGGCTGATTTAAGCTGTGATTAATGTAGTCAATCATCAGCATCTTTGTCATCACTTCCATCTGGATTTTCATTCTCAAGAACGTTATCTAACACCATGTTCTCACATTGCAAAGTACACATGTCAGTGCATTTGAGTCCAGCTCTCAAACAAGAGCATGTTTCCACAGAGCAAACTCTTTTGCATGTGCAAGACATTAGTTCGAGGACTTCTTCTGGAGCAGGCTTACTTCCAAGCCAGACAAATTCCACTAGCTTCGATGTACTGCATACTTTTCAGCTGTGCCCGTGAGGAGAGGGAACATCTGGATGCGGAATCACAGCTGTTCTCCAGATAACTGCTTGATAATTGGCACACTTCATGTGTAGACGCAGCGACGTCCTACATGGCAGTGCTTCTGGATCTACTTTTCTTCCCTTTGCACAGAACAGCTCATAGTGTAACAGATCCACATTCTGGCCTTTACAGGTGACATACTAGAGCTTCAGCAGCATTAAATGTTGCATTGGATACACTCCATGTCTCTCCTATTTCCACCATTGCTTTCACACAACTTTCATTCTTGAGAAGTAGTTGGATTGCGTTCCACTTTCCCTTTCCAGAAGATGCGGATACTGTCTCACATCCTGTCAATGCATGTACTCTGATATGCCCGGACTTAGCTGCTTGAAAAGACTCTCTGCCACAATGGACAGTTCAATTATGCTAGTCTTCATGCTTCTGTCTTTCTTTATGTAACACTTTCCAAGGGCTTGACCATGGCTAAGAAGCAGGATTTGGACACCTGTATCCTTGGAATAACTATCACGTACTGCCAGCATGCTGTGCATGGAGGATCATGCATGTGTCAGCTTCTTTGTGACTGCACTTCAATTCAGGAACCGGCTCAGACATGGTGGAGTCTAACTTCTAGCATTCATCCTGAATAGTAACATACAATGTTCTGTCACCAAGCTTGCCCCTGAACTCTTCCTTTTCCCACTGAGACACAAGCAACTTCACAATCTCAACCTTGTTTGAGGCAGCACTCGACAGTTTGCTCCATGACTTAACCTTGTAACCAGGCAGAATGTTCTTGTACTTGATTCTATCAGATTCGGAAGCCCTTTCTGACCTCTCCACATTCTTAATAGATTGTTCTTGATATACATCGAATACAACATCTATCCTTTTGCTATAGTTGCTTGTTACTGTATCAAATAATCTGTTTGGAACAACATGGAAAGTGGCTCTGACTGGAGGCTTGAACTTCTGCAGGACGGCTATCCAATCAAATATGCTAGTTCAATTTCAGGATATCTTTCTGTCACCTCAATACGCCTTTTGAGTTGCTGTGAAATCTTCGACCCTTCTTTCGAGGCAGACCAGAGGATTACCAAATGACTACACATACTTATTCCTCCTCTAAAAAAGGTCAAAGTTGCAGGTGAAAACTTGTTTACATAATGTATCACCTTCAACATGGTGTTGTCGTTTTGTAGAAGGGCCATAATCTTCTTTTTTCTCTCATCTTGTAATTTCCTCTGCTGTGTCAATTTCCCTTATTTGAGAGGAAAAAGAATTAGAAAACGGAAGTGACCAGAGAGACGGCACAAGCAAAGTGACAAAGTGCTTGTGAAAAATAAACAAAAGGTGCTTGCCTTCTTTGTCATTCTAGGCAAAGAAGGTGGGCAGCAAATGCTGAATCGCTTCAGTATCCACAATAAATCTTTGCTGATACTCACGAAGAATAAACTTGGCAGTCTAACCAAATCCTCTGATGGCCTCTGCCAAACCTTTACACCCTCAGAAGCTGAGGCATGAATCTTCTTTTGGCCACTTCCAGTTCCAAATCTATAAACACAGAGAACATTGAAAACTTATGGCTGGGCAGCATCTAGTGAAGACATGCAAGTAGGAAGTAAATTTTGATCTAAATGAGCTTTTTTACGAATATTTCTTCTCAAAGCTGAAGGAAAGATACCTTATGTTATAGAACTTTTAAGACAGAGCACTGATAGACAAAAAACAACACAATATTCCTTATCTTTTATTCAGCCATCCTTGGACGCGGGAAACTCGCTTAAAAGAATTCTGGGTATTTTCCAAGATAGCACAGCACTCATCACTCATTCCCAGATCCTCTGAACTTTTCAAGATAGTGGTGGAGTTAAATTTCCCACCCTGGGGACCATTGTGGATGTCAAAATCCCAACCCACATGCGCTTTATGAAGTCTAATTTCCCTGGGTTGCTCAACCCCCCATACTGGGGCAAACCATTGCTCAGTGCATAATATGTATCTCAAAGTTGGAACCTACTCTTTGGGAAAAAGTGCGCTTTATACACGGGTAAATACATAATCAATAACCGTCATTGTGAAATTCACAAGAGAGAAATGGGCATGAAAAAAAGCTCTTACGAAGTTGTTGAGGTTTCTTGTGTTGCCAGGTTTCCTAATGACATGTCTTATGTCCTCATGGGAGTAGTTTCAAACGGGTTTACCACTTGTATTGACAAGGTTTGCAGTGTCATCTGCCTTGATTTACGCCACTTTGTTCACTGATTGTTTAATAGGAGAGAGGCAACTTATCTACTGGTAAAACTGAATTCACGCGATACCATTTAACTGACCTCATTGATGATGATTTGATTCAAGCAACATATGCCATCATTGTTTTTGGCCAATGTGAGAGTGATTATAAAGAAGGGTAATTTGGTTAATTTCAATTCAACTGAACACTAAATATTTCTTATGATACGTAATGTGGAACCACAGAACATTACACGCAGGTATCCCTGAAGAAACGAGATTGCAAAGGTTGTGCTAGCCTCTGTGGAAGGACTGTCCG